GTTAATCTTTTTAAAAAAAATTTTTTTTTGTTACAGGAAGTTCCAGCAATTTGCCTTAAGGCGCAATGCCACGCGGCCCACTAGTTATCATATATATTTTGGAGACAATATGTTAACACCGTGACTCAAGACTTTTTGCCAATATTCAACTTAACCACTGGGATGACAGATATAATAGTAAGTACTCTATTACATATTTTTACGAATTTCTCTCATACAGTATATATAAAGTTTTGTGAAGCACAACCACAACTCTATAATACTTTGTTATCAATTTTATTCCCCAATTAAATTAACCAATCAACCTTTTTATTGCTGCCTGAAAAATTAATAATTTAATATCCGTTGCGTCGCACGCTGAACCTCCACCACTCGGACTCAAACTTTTCTCGAAGCTAAAAAAAAAACAGATAAAGAAACGAAAAGAATAAAAAAAAACAATTTCAACCCCGAAAAACTGTGGCATTCGTCGAAATGTGCTTTGTTCAGTCGATCGTACGTAATACTCTAGAATATAAATTCACCGTCCAATGAAATGCCTCCTCTACAACCGCCCTACGCTGTGTCTTTCCGTGCGCGTCTAATATGCCGATCTGAAGAAATAGGGAAGCTGGAAGGAAGAACTTTTATTTATTTACTATTAGATTCTTATTGCAATAAGTACAGAACTCAAAATAAACTAGTAGTGCTGGAACTTCCCATAACGCAATTAAACGTTGGCGAAATCAAAAAAATCAATTATTAATAAAAATGTATATTTGTAAGCTACATTTGTTTTAAATATTTGAAAATTTATTATAATATAAATGCTTACATTTGGGCGAGCACCTATATCTGTGTTTATCTACAAGAACTAAAACCAAATAAGCACCGTCGACACAGCCAATATGTTTTTTGAATCACTCCAATCGGATGCGACGCACTCTCAAAAACTGCTATTCTTTGTATTTTTTGTTCAGTATCTCCGAAACCGCTGTACCTATCGTCGCAAAAATGCAATCAACAATTTGAATCGATTGTTATCTGAATCATTCTAATCGGATGTGAAAATCTGGTAGTTCTTGCGCTTTTTGCTCCGTATCTCAGGAACGGATGGACCTGCTTTCGCCTAAATCTGACAAGACAAGTCGAGTGTTTTCTAAATCATTCAAATCGGTAGATCAGTGCTCTCGATATCCTGGACGAAAACTTGTATCCAAACATAAGCACACACATACATACATAAATTTTTTGTAAGGTATGCCAAAACATTCAGACACCTCTGAAAGGTATAGATATTTAAAAAAAATCATTTTCATACTTAACTAACCCTACGAAAAGTTAATGAATTTGAAGCACTGTAAACTTGTCCAGATTAAAAAGAAATTTGATATATTCTTTTTTAAATGATTTTTTATTACTATCTTTATTAGTTTGGAAATTTAATTTAGAAGATATCTTTATTAGTTTGGAAATTTATGTAAACACTTGTTTGCAATCTAGGCAATAATTTTGTTGCCATTATCAAAGAATATGATCCTAAAAAATAAGCAATGTTTCATGCTTTATCATTAGGAAGGATATCAGAAGATATAAAAGAGAAACATTAAAAATTTTCAAATCCATTCGTATAACGTTTAGGGTATTTGTTATCGTTATTTCTAATATATTAAAATTTAATTTATGTTAATATGACTGTATGATTAACATAACTATTGGCTAACTTCTAAATTCATAGTATTTTATCAATGCACTATTGCATTATATTATTATATCAGAAGTCAAACGTCCAAGTCAAACTTGGTGCAAACAAAGTTATCGAACGTCAAACATTGTTATTATTGAAAGAACATTTATTTATATATATATATATATATATATATATATAATATATATAAGTTTCCTAAATTACATGATATTTGTTTTACATGGCTCAATTATTTTATATAAATATCTTTACTTAACATAGGATATATTTATTTAAACATAGTTCTGAAACTCAATTTAGAAACTATTATTTTTTTAAATATAATTTAATTATATTATTATTGTATTATTTAATTATTGTTTATAATAATCAATGACACAATGAAAATGGAAGTTATAGAATGAAACTTCTGTTTATTGCAGGGATAAATAAATATAAACTTGATAAAAAATATATAAACTGGTTTACAAATTGTTCATCAGATCTCGTTCTATTACTGCAGCAATGCAATATATAACTTTGCGACAGGGCCACACGTTTCGGAAATGATATTAAACTTGTATTATTTCATACAATGAGTCACTTTTTGATGTGATAAATTATTTTTTATTATATATACATGAAATTGTTTGGGCGTTGTGAAGATATATTAAATTACTTATTGTACGAAATTTATTTATCGTACTGCAATTCATCACATATATGGATGCTATTGTAATAGGAAATAAGAATAATCTCAAGTAATTTACATACTCATATTTTTTCACGGACAGTTACATGTGGTAATAATATATATTAATCAAAGAAATAACATTTTCCTCATTTTTTTAAACCAAATAAATGTCTTACAAAAATTGGAAAAAATATATTTCTTTATGCAATTCTTCCATTTCTTTGCAATGACATGTAGTATTTGAACAAAATTTAGCAAAATTATAAAGTACTAATAGTTTAGATTTTCATACATATTTGTATACATAATTGTCAAAAATTTTATATCCTTCAGTTTCAAGATTATTCACTTAATCACATGTGTAACAGCAGATTATTAACGTTATTAACAAATTATAAAACGTTATATATGAAATTGTTTTTATTTTTTTATGATTATTGTGATGCATTTAAAAAACATTTTTTCTAATAATATTTTTTTTATTATTTACACGTTTCGTCCACTTAATGCTTGCATAGTATGCATATACTTCTATAATATGCAAATTTATAAATGCTTGAGAAAGCTATATAAATTTTTCTTCGTTATCTGAAAGCTTCATTTTGTGGCATACTCGTTACAATAAATATCACCTTATAGAATTAAGTTCGAATTTTTTTATTTCCTAATAGTTGAATTTTTTTAAAAAGTCATTGCAATAATAAATGTACCTACCAATTACTTCCAAATAATATTCAAAAATCTATCCTAACGTTGCTTACAACAACATTTTTAATGCAATTCTTTAATTGATATTCTAATAGAAATTTAAATATTAAAGATAAAAATAAAGCCAATGATAAACAGTAAAAAATGTATAGAATCACTACAGGGAGTGATTTTTGGCTAAGACACTTCTAGGTCAACATATATTAATTTTTTATTTAATATTTTTATTTGTAACTAAATAGCAAAATAGTTGTTAATAATACTTAGTTATTGGCAGAATTATTTATTATTTATATTTTTTATTAAATGGTTCATTGAGAACTAATACATTGAGAACTGGTCGTAGTAACTTATTTAGTTGATCTGCAATATTTAATATATCAGTTTTTATTTGATGTATATGAGCTTTCATGCTTAATTACTTTATCTTATTTTACAAGCCCTTATAGTTTGCAAAATAGTGATACCACTATTCACTTTACCTCACATTTGTCTAAATTGCATACATTTTTCCAAAAACCAAAACCATCAATTACATTTTTTAGTGATGTCACTAGTAATGTACATAGTTCTACTTCCAGACTATTTCAATTTTTTGCCACTATTTGTTTATTCTTTCATAAGTTTTGGACGCACCCTCTTCCCTGTGACTCTGAGTGGAGTTCGGACTAAATCAACTGGACAATTGATAGGACGGTTAAACGCGCTTCATTGACTCCTCCACGATCTTTCAAAGACCTACTCAATTTATATGTATATAGTTTCTGCAGAAGTAAATTCTGGGGAGAGGTGATCAAATTGGATTAAAGCCTTGCACGGGCCAATAGAGCACTGCATTCTTTTCAACAAGAAGTTAAAAATTGAGTACACAAAGTATGCTTTTTTATAACTAAATTTTTACATATTTTACTTTACTAACATAAACAAATATGTTAAATGATTTCAACAGTGATTGAATTTTGTGAAATAGCTTAGTAAAATTAAAATTTATAAATACACATACAAGCGGATTTATATTGGAAATTTATAAATTTCCAATATAAATGCGCTTGTATGTGTAGCAAATAGGGTTCATACAAAAACCGACATTTCAGAAAACCGGTTTTCGAATTTTAATTTTACTAAAAAACCGGTTTTAACCGGTTTTCGAATTTTATATAAAAAATACATTTTTGCTGTATATTATCCGATTATCCTGTAATTTATCCGCAAATTTAGTGTAATTTAGAGCAGTATTTGGTTGAATTTATTTATTGTTCAATTTCATAGATAGTAAACAAAATTATTTTAATTTTAATTAGTAGAACTGAAAAATAATAGTTTATCTTGATTAAATAATTTTGAAAATAATTATTCGTTATATATGCATCATTTTCACATATAAGAATGAAAATATTTTTATGATAGTGAAAGGAAAGTTTTGAATAAATAAAAAATAATACATTTTAAAATAAAAAACAGTCATTAAATTAAAAAATATAAAAAAATATTAGATACATGTTGATACATACTTGTTAATATCAATTTTAGTTTTAAAAACAATTAAGCTAATACCCGAAGTATTCTCTGTTCCAAGCAATTTTAATTAATTAATTTTAAACATTCTAATTGTTATTTTATTTAATAAAATATGATTTTGAAAAACTGAAAACGTCTATCGAATTGCTACTTAGACGTATATTTTGTTTGCACACAAAATTTCCTGAAATAAAAAATACTCTCATACTTGCGACCAAATAATGCTTAATTGTTTTTAGAGCCTGATATAATAATTCTAAGTTTTTTGTTCTTTAATTTGTGGCTTCTAGAGTTTATAACTCTTTTTTTTTAAGTTTGAGTAGAGAATGTTACTTCTTCAAGAAGAAGTCGATTGCAGACTGAAAATATATCAAATGCTATTGAACCGATATGATTCCAAAATCAAAACGCTCTCTTCTTAATTTATTTGGATATATTTGTCATTTTCCATTTATACAGTGAAAACCGATTTTTTTTTACTAAAAAACCGGTTTTCGAATTCCATAATTTTCGCCAAAAAACCGGTTTTTGAAAACCGACAAACCCTAGTAGCAAATCATTAAATTGTAAAAAGTAATAGTTGAACAAAGA